AGAGAGAGAGAGAGAGAGAGAGAGAGAGAGAGAGAATTTGATTACCAGCGAAGACAGAAGCGACCGCAGCTACAGAAAAAAAAGTTTTATAAGTAATTTTGTAAATGAATATAAATGGTTGCAATGAATACCTATTAAAAATGAGATACAGACGGCTGGCCCGGAATTACGACTAGCTACATTGCCCGCTAATACATAAACACCCAAACCAAGTGTTGAACCGATTCCTGAATATAGAAATTATTTAAATAAAGACAAGAATAGGAGATGAAAGTGATATCAAACCCAAACACGTTAAGTCAAACAGTGATAGACATCGGGAGAGTTGACTTTCGCCCACATTCTGGTCATCAATTCTCTTCTTTCTCACTAATGCCTTAAGAATGGATTTGTTAGTCATTTCTCTCAATCACTTAATCAGATGTTAATGAAACTAAAATTGTTAATAGTTTATAAAATATGCATTTGTTTGATAAAATACTTATTCCGATAAAATGATTGCATTTTCTTAATGTCATACCTTATCGACAATTTTTTGCAGTAACGTTTGGTTTGGTTTACAAATTAGATTTCAAATACAAAATTAACATATTTTATTTTATTTACTTTTTGCTACATTTTAAAAATTAATAATTAAAATAGTTTTAGTTTTAAAATATCAATAAAATATTAAAGCATATTTATTTTTCAAATGATTTTTAATTAAATTGAATATTTTCGTTAGAAAAACACATTAGAATAAAAGTACTAAATATACTGCATATTTACAAATGTATAGAAGTGTTAAGTATAATGTAGAGAATATCACAATATAACTTATACTATTTTATAAGAGTACCATGGTACAGTAGCTCGTTAGCCAGTTTTTTTAAGCACTTGAAATATTTATAGTTAAGAATTTCGATAATGGCAAGTTCTTACGTTATCATAAGCAAATATTTAGCAATCGTGTTTTAATTAGCTATTATTTAGTTCATTTTCAAGAGATGCTTTTTGAGGCACACTTTGTAATGATATTTAATATTATCACTAAAACTGATTTTCACATCATCAAACTGTGACCAATCATTTTACTATTTAACCAATCTTGTTTATCAAATTATATAATCCATATCTGCACCCAATAATATCAAAGTGACCATAACTAAATATAGTCAAATTCAAACTTTATCCTTAAAAACTTGATATTCTTTAGAACTTAATATTATTAAAAAAGTTATTAAAATAAAATTTTCCTTCAAATAAAGAAATTAAAATTTAAATATTGAAAGTTTTCAAACAATAAAATACCAATTATGTCACAACTGATGAACATTTTTTGCAAATCTCCCACAGATTAACAAATTATATGTTCATTAGTCAACTTCAGATACAAATACAAATATTTGTATTGTTGCTTTTTTGAAAATTCATATTAATATTTAATCACATAACACTCGTTTTGTTACAAAATCAATGTTACAAAGGGCAATTTTGATCCTATTTTATCAATAATAAGTTACAGTTAATTATTATTAATAATTAATAAATGAGAATGTAATAGAATGTACTCAATATTAATTGTAATCACTATTTAATCCATTATCAATAGTAAAGAGCCGCTAGAGTTGCCGTCATTGTGATAATGAATATTCAGCTTTTGAATACTTTAACTTAAATGCTAACAAATGTTGAATTTATATTTCAGTTAAACAGTTTTGAAACATTAATTTAATCAATTTAAGTTTTCGTTTATATTGACCGTAAATACGGTTCACTATTCATACAAACGATGGACTTTTGGCACAAATATCGCAATTATATCTCGTTTTGGTATTCATTTGTTTAAAATAAACTTTTTGTTGTAATATAAACTAAAGTCAATTTTTTTATTAAACCAATTGATAACAGGATTCTGGGCTTAAGTAATGACTATTCGTATGTAATTATGTTGAGCGCAGCCTTTGATATCATGAGTGTTAGTCACCGCCAAACACGACAACTTTATTCTTCTCTTTGATTGTCTTAATTAAAGGACTGTTTAATAATTAACAGTTGGTTTGGCATTAATTTATAGGCCTTTGATCCTAAAGATTCAAGCCATTCGTCCGATGATAACAATGGCTTTAAATGCAACACCAGTTCCACCGGTTCTGTACTTCTCGCTGATATACTTCCCTGTCTTTTCATTAAACTCTTGGCCCCATTTTTCTTCACGAATACTAAGTATTAGTTTATAAAAATATTATCATTTGTCAAAAATTTAAATTATTTATTAATTTAGTCTTCGGGTGTCGGTTGTGGTCATACTATCGGCGCTCAGTTTCATTATAACTTCGTTTTCAATTAATATTTACATTTCATACATTGGTTCGCATTTAACAATTTAATCGGCGATATATTACAAACTCTACATTAATTGTCACGTTTTAGGTATAATCTGTGCCTCAATATCGGGCGGTTTAGGCGAGACTACGTTTCTGTCCTATTCATCAAAGTTTGACTCTCGAGTCATATCTTATTGGTCTTCAGGCGCGGGTGCGTCCGGTCTGTTGGCTTCAATGTCTTACGCATTCCTCACTACAATTGGTTTGAGTCCTAAGAATACATTATTAGTGATGCTATTCATTCCCGTACTGATGGCACTGACCTACTGGTGCTGTATTACCGAAAATATTGTTACCATCGCTGATATTCCATCCGCTACAAGCAGTTCCAATGAAGAGTCAGAAGTCGTTCCTAAAAATAGTGATCAATCATCGGCTGTATTAACCAATTATGAAATGATTTTATATATTAAAGTAATAATAATTATTATTACTTTTCAACAATTATTCAGTTATTAATTGATTTTTATTATTTTGACAGAAACTCTTGAAATATATGATACCATTAATGTTAGTCTACGGGTTTGAGTACTTCATTAATCAGGGATTGGTTTGTATTTTTGAAACTTATTTTAAAGAGAATTTTACAAATTATATTAACTTATAATCATTTCATTTACAATGCATTATAGTTTGAATTGGTTTACTTCCCGGATATATGGCTCAGTCATAAGGAACAGTACCGATGGTATAACGTTGACTATCAGGTCAGACACACATTCAATCCATTCATATTCAATGATAACTGAATTGTTATACAACAGATCGGAGTATTGATATCGAGATCGTCGCTAAGTTTGTTTAAAATCAAACCGATTTATATTCTGGCGATTCTTCAATCCGTCAATCTATCGGTTGTGTTGACACACATTTGGTTACGATATATACCAAACATTTGGATTATATTATCTCTGATCCTATTCGAGGGACTGTTAGGCGGAGCCGCTTATGTCAACACATTTCACAGGATATACACCGAAGTGAACCATAAGTACAAAGAGTTTGCACTCAGTATCGTAACAGTAAGTCCTGCCATCGGTATAACGATCGCCGGCTTCTCAGCCATTCCGGTCCACGACTACATCTGTAGACACATTCACTTTTGACATTTATATCGCAACCAATTCAACACATTTGGATTGCAATTTGCAAATTCAACACAAATATAACTTTCAATTATATGATTTGTAAATAATGTCTAACTTATATATTTATATTTAATGTATAGTTATTGTAATTCTAATAATTTATTTTAACAAGATTTGTTGTTGATAAAAACAAATAAAATGATGATGGTTGTTTGTGGTATCTGAATAATGAATAATGAATAATTACTAATGATGGTTACTTTTATCATTTATAATTCAATTCACATCCATATTTCAAAAACTGCGCCAAACATCACATAACAGTAAACATTAGATATGAAAAACATATGACTTTTGTTTATTCATTCATTAAATAGCGAAACAAATATTGATTGAATGGTTAGTTAACATGTATTCAATCAATTCATCCACTTTTCACTTATATTAATCGTCAATACGGCTCACAATCCATACAAACGATGGACTTTTGGCACAAATATCGCAATTATATCTCATTTTGGTATTCATTGACAGCTATTTTTCAATCAACAAACTTTAATTGTAATTCAATTTAATTTATTCAGGATTTTGGGCTTAAGTAACAACTATTCGTATGTAATTATGTTGAGCGCAGCCTTTGATATCATAAGTGTTAGTCACCGCCAAACACGACAACACCTCTTAATTGCCACTATTTATTGACAGCTGTTTTGACCACTATTTATAGGCTTATGACCCGAAAGGTCCCGACAATCCATCCGATGATAACAAGGGCTTTAGATGTAACACCAGTTCCACCGGTACTGTACTTATCGCTGATATACTTCCCTGTCTTTTCATCAAACTCTTGGCCCCATTTTTCTTCACGAATACTAAGTATTAATCCATAAAAATAATTGTCATTTAAATATTAAATATCAGTTAAATATTGTCTAATACAGTGTTCGGGTGTTAATTGTGGTCATACTATCGGCGCTCAGTTTTATTATAACTTCATTTTCTTATGATTTATACTTTTCATATATTGGTTTGTATTAAACGCTAGCATCAATGATAAGTAATATTCTATAACTCTTTGATATAATTGTCACGTTTAGGTATAATCTGTGCCTCACTGTCGAGCGGTTTAGGCGAGACTACATTCTTGGCCTATACATCCAAATTTGATTCTCGAGTCATATCGTACTGGTCTTCAGGCACCGGTGCTTCGGGTCTCTTAGGCTCTATGTCTTACGCATTCCTCACTTCAATTGGTTTGAGTCCAAAAAGTACATTATTAGTGATGCTATTCATTCCCGTACTGATGGCACTGACCTACTGGTGCTTTATTACCGAACCCATCGTTACCATCGATGATACTAGTCGTCCACTAATGAGTGATAGCAATGATTTGCCATCCGTTACGAATGGGGCCGACGACGAGACACAAGTCATACCACAAACTACTAGTCAATCATCTCCCGTATTAACCACTTATGAGATGACTCTTTATATACAAGTATTATTGCTTTTCGATAAACACTTTTACTGCTATTAATTGTTTTAATTATTCCGACAGAAACTCTTCAAATATATGATACCATTAATGTTGGTCTACTTTTTTGAGTACTTTATTAATCAGGGATTGGTTTGTATTTATGACAATTTTGAAACTAATATTTAATATGATTATGCAGTATTGTAATCTCGATGCAAATGCTTGTCTGTCTAGTTTGAATTGGTTTACTTCCCGGATATATGGCTCAGTCATAAGGAACAGTACCGATGGTATAACGTTGACTATCAGGTCAGATCATACATTCAATCCATTGATATTCAATGATAAATGAATTTTTATACAACAGATCGGAGTATTGATATCGAGATCTTCTTTAAGTTTTGTTAAAATCAAACCGATTTATATTCTGGCGATTCTTCAGTCGATCAACGCATTGATTGTATTGTCACAGATTTGGTTACGATTTATGCCAAACATATGGTTTATGTTATCTCTGGTTCTATTCGAGGGTCTCTTAGGCGGAGCCGCTTATGTCAACACATTTCACAGGATATACACCGAAGTCAACCATAAGTACAAAGAGTTTGCTCTCAGTATCACTACTCTAAGCGATTCCATTGGTATTACAATCGCTGGCTTTTCAGCACTTCCAGTCCACGACTCCATCTGCAAACACATTCACTTTTGAACCATTGATTATATACCATATACACCAATAATGTATAGTTTATTACTCTATTTGTTATTTATTTTGAATAAAGAATCCAAATGATCATGAACAGTTGATATTGTCTGAATCGAGACTAATTTGAGAATATGTGATACTGTCATTAGAAGAGAGGCCACACGTGTTGCGGTCAAACATTCAATAATAGGGTCATTGTATCCGTTCTGGTGTTTCAAGTGTTGATTGAAATGTGATTTGAAGGCAATTAATTAACAAACTCAATTCTAAGCGTTTTAACGGTTTATAAAATATTCAAAAATATTTAACAGTAACACAAATGTATATAAAAAACTGTTTATTAATTGCACATATTTTGCAGCAATATATTGTAGATTTTATAATAATTTATAACACAGTCTTTATGAAATCTAAAGTTAAGTTACAAAGTAAACTCGCAATTAAAGTATATTAAATCACAAGTCATTTGTATATTACCTAAGTTTTCAGAGATAACAAAATAAAAGATATAATTTAAAATACAAAATCAATAAATTTCAATCAACAATGCTATCCGTGGATCAGTTCATTCCCAACCAATGATTCAGTTTACTATTGATTGATGTGAACCAACCGGTGCTGCTTCGTGTTCCGGACGCCTCTTCGGGTTCGCTGTCTTCAGCGTCAAACTCATCGTCTCTAACCCTGAAGTATGAGGTGAATGGCGACCGACAAACTGGACACTTGTCCACCCGTTGCAGGCATTGGCCGCAGAGACAGGTGTGACGGCACGGGAGCAGTGCGTGCGATACCAAACTGGTCTGACATACGACACAGAATTGACTGCTTCGGGGCTCGACATCGCTTTGCGGTGCAAACAATTGCTTCAAATCAAACATATGTCCCGACCGTTGCTTCAGATACTGAGTGATCAGTGATGTTGTCGTCGAACAGAACGTGTCCTTCAAATGGATTATCGAAACCATACACACCTTATGAAGAATCAATCACCGGTTAGTCTTATAAATACAAAATCTCATTAACACAACCACTACACTACTGACCACATCGTTATCATTCACTTCGACGCCATCGTCATCATCGTTGCGGACCTAATGTCGTCAATCAATTCATTAGTATTATTAACAATATTATAATTATCACAAAAATAATGACTTAGATAATCCTGTTGATTACCTATTGCGCAAGCGCCCAATATAGGTTCTGAAAGCGGCGACTTCATTAGCCACCCTCCAAACTGGGTTACATACTAGAGAAGTGACCAGAGTATCATAGATATTTAATTGATATAATAAAACACAAAATTATACGACAAACATACCAATGGCTCAACTGATCTTACAGTTCGGGTTCGCTTCGGAACAGATAGTGATTGGCAATGAACTTGTGGTCCAACAACTGCTGTCTCAATGGCTGCCACTCTTCTTGCAAAGTGTAGTGCAAGTCCTCGATATCGACGGCCCAATAGGCGAACACCCAGAAGGAGTTGTCGCAAGTGATGCACAGTTTGACACCATTTCGGTAATTATCGTAACGAAGAGATTCGTCGCATATCTTAAACATAAAGGGATTCTGGAGGCGAACCATCGATTGGGCGCCCATTTGTTCCCGGTTTAGGTGAACAGAGGACCCGTTGCCCAACGCATCCATTCTTCTGCGGTAAGCATAAGAAGCAAACAAATGGTTAATACATTTGGCTAATGGCTGTCAACGAGTGTATGTAATGAACTCTTTGTGTTGCTCATAACTATATTTGTTATATTTGTGATTTTGCATATCTTTAAGTAATCAAAACTACATACTTATTTTACCGTCATTTAATTTGTTTTGGTAGCGAAGAGACTTTGCAATCCAAACTAACAATCAATTCATCAAACAATTCATCGTTTCTAATTTTGTTGTAAATTAGAGAGTAAGTTATGGAATACCAAATTATGTTTACAAACTTTGTTAATAATATTATTAACATAACTAAACACTTACGTAAGTTTCTCTGACAGTCAGTTACAGCTGTTGTGGGACTCTATCTAATACACGACATTAATCGACAAATTACGTCAATCAGTGCCATTGAATCAACACTAAAATAGGGGACAAGTTATTTGCCCCTACTATGAGTATTAACGTACACCATATAAAACGTCAGGGACTCTATCTAATACACGACATTAATCGACAAATTACGTCAATCAGTGCCATTGAATCAACACTAAAATAGGGGACAAGTTATTTGCCCCTACTATGAGTATTAACGTACACCATATAAAACGTCATATATATTTAAATGTTTGTTTAATTATTAAATTTTACATGTATGTTTTATATATGTAATCAATGTAGAATTCATCGCTGAGTTCGAATCTGAAATTCAAAATATTTTATTTCGAATATTTTTCGAGTTATTCGACTTAGAATATTTTTATCGAAAATTTTAAAGTGACGTAATTTATTGATATGATATATGCTTTGTAGAATTCATCGCTAAGTTCGAATCTGAAATTCAAAATATTTTATTTCGAATATTTTTCGAGTTATTCGACTTAGAATATTTTTTATCGAAAATTTTAAAGTGACGTAATTTATTGATGTGATATATGCGTTCGATGTAGAATTTAACGCTTATTTTGAATCTGAAATTTAAAATCATCTACCTCAAATATATTAAAAGTTATTCAAATTTTAACATTTTAAAGTCGAATAGTTTGAAAACTATAAATTAAATTTTGAAACCGATCTGATTATATTAACCAGCGTTAAATTCTACATCAAATGCATATATCATATTAATAAATTCAGCCATTTTAAAATTTTTAATATAAAAACTGCTATGCCGAATAACTCGAAATATATTCGAGATTGAACATTTTAAATTCTAGATTCGAACTCAGCGGTGAATTCTACATTGTTCGATGTAGAATTTAACGCTTATTTTGAATCTGAAATTTAAAATAATCTACCTCAAATATATTTAAAGTTATTTAAATTTTAACATTTTAAAGTCGAATAGTTTGAAAACTATAGATTAAATTTTGAAACCGATCTGATTATATTAACCAACGTTAAATTCTACATCAAAT